CAGGACCGTTCACCACCTGACACAAGAAGGCAGATCATTGAACAAAATCACACACTTCAACGAGGATAATCTCCCACATCAAGCAAAGAAAGACTAACAGGACGTAGGACGACATTCATTCATGGCTTCGAAATGTCAGATACACTGGCTGAAACGTGCAATACGTGAGTGTCAGATACACTGGCACTCAGCACCCCAAGAACGTCAATCTCCAAGAAGAAGCTCCCCAACCGATTTTCTCTCTTTCTAAACGAAGTCTCTAGACACTAGCAGTGTCGGAACCAGAACAAAAATTGAGGGGGCGAAAAAAATCAAATCATCGAGTTGGAAAGATATATAATCTCTACTAAATTCTTTTTTATGTATTTATATAGATTAATTTGATCTCAAATTGAATGCAGAAGAAATATTTTCATTTTCATGAAATGACTCTTTATTTAGACCTATATACACAAGCGCACACATACACATACATATATATACAATCACATATATTTCCATCTATATTTGTTTTCTAGTGCCCAAACAAAACAATAGACTTTCTCTTAACACGCGAGTTTATTTCGATTTAAAATGCTTATCATTTTATTTTAAAGTTTTGTTTAAATTTCGATTTAATACGCTCGTTTTAAATATCAAGGTTTAAATAGAAATATAGCTAAACAAATAGAGGAAGATAAATTAAAACTCCCATACGGAGTATATGTAAGTTACTAACTTATCAAGAAAATAATAATTTTGTTTTACTCTTTTCAATTTAACGTTGTTTCTAGGTTATTTGTTTTTTAAAAGGATATTAATTGTTTTATTTATGCAAATTTATTAAATAAATTTAATTATACACATATAATTAAAGTCGCACATTTCAAATATTAACAAGAAGTTTTGGCATATTTGTATTAAAGCAAAGAATAAATAGTTATGTTAAGTTAAAACTTTATAGTCATTGCACTAAACAGAAAATGTAAATAACATGTCAATATTCGAAAAAGTAAAAAAAGTTAAATATTATAAATTGGAAAAATATAAATGTATAATAAAAGTAAAAGAAATGTAGTGCGATAGGAAAAAATTAAAGGGGAAAATAATTAAAATACCCCAAACTTTGAAGAGGTGTGAGATAAACACCCCAAACTTGCATATGTAATTTAAATACCCCAAACTTTATATAAAAGTTATTTTAGCACCATCTTCATGTTTTATTTCTTTCAAAAATATTAATTTTTGGTGTTTATTTCATAATTTGATAATTTTTAGTATTCATAAAGATACAATTAACATTCTAAACTTCCATAGTAAAATAAATAGTATTACCCACCACTATATATAATTCTAATGTTTTCAATTTTCTATTTTAAATTATGCATTTAACACCATATATTTACATTTTTGAAAGAAATCATACATAACCATGGTGTTAAAATAACTTTTTATATAAAGTTTGGGGTATTTAAATTACATGTGAAAGTTCGGGGTGTTTATCTCACATCCCATCAAACTTTGGGGTATTTTAATTATTTTTTCCAAAATTAAAAGTAAAACAGTCACAAAAGAAGAGAAAGTAGAGGAGGTTTAAACATTTAAAAGACTCCATGCGCCAGGGGACTCAAACCCGGGTTTGTAAGAAAGCTAAAGCGATGTTCTACCATCTCTGCTACCTAAACTATTGTTTACAAAACATGTCGGTGTATATTTATTACATTACTTTGAGACGGGGCTGTACATACATATATACATATATATACACCACCATCTCCGGCGAACGGGGGGCGGCAGCACCGGCTCGCCCCCCCTAGTTCCGCCACTGGACACTAGGGTTGCTCGGACAATTATCCATTTGGACGCTTTCGGTTACGGGCCTGGCCCATCTCATCTTTCTTGTTTTTATTTAGGGGCCGAGATCTTTAAATCCCTATTTTGTTTGTTAATAAATTTTATTAAAGTTTTAATAAAGTTTAGGTAAATTTCCATGTCATTCGCTATATAACTTTAAAACAATTATAAGCAATAAAATTTCAATTTCAATACCCACAAGGAAAAAGGGAAATATATTTATATACCACTTATTGGTTAAAAATAAAAATATATTGAAAATTATATCGTAATTCGTAAATGCAGAATACAAATAACAAATATAATGAGACTGTTTTAACTTTCAAATATAATGAGACTGTTTTACCTTTTAAGTGCATAGTAAGTATTATTATTTGTTTCTTATTATGAAATAACTAATTTTGTCCTCTACAATAGTAGGACCTATATGAACATTTTCTCATAAATTTGTATTTAAGTATAGTGTAAGAATGACATAGCACACTTTTACGTATTTGCACACCCCCTGATTTGTCTGTTTACAAAAGCAATTCATCTTAAAAAGAAATCTATCTATTAGACCATTTGAAGTGGTGTGGAGGCCAAAATGTCAAAAATATACTTCGTTCATATGAAAACAGTGTTTTGACTCTTATTTTCATGATTTCCAGCACCGTCAATAAAATACACCCATCATAATTTTGTACATATCAATTTAATAAAATATTAATTAAATTATTATAAGTAATGTTTTCTTTCTAATTTTTTTCCATAATTAATTATGAAAAAATACACATTTTGATGTAAAAGTAAACAAATTTCTTTATTTTTTTTAACATTTTTTGGTTAACAAAAAATAAATTTAGTTCAAGTAAAGTTCCATAATGGAATATTCGGTCATTGTTGAAGCTCCATAAATATAAATTTTTTGTTTCGTGTTATTATGCTCAGGAAATCTTCAACAGTTAAAACTTCAAAAAATGTATCATTTTTATATTTTACATATTGGTGTCATATGAAAGATAATAAAAAAATCATGAGTTATAATACACTTAAAAAAAATCTATGATGGACACATACTTCCACATTTTCCTCTCTCCTACTCTCCTCCACATAGGTCCACAAATTTTTTTTGCATTGAGAGTCCATCATCCCTCTATATTTACCCCCCTCCACCCCCATTTCCATTTCTACTACCCATTATAGCCTACCACTACATGAAGTTTCAAGGACTTGTCTGAGTTCTGACAGTGTTTCAAAGGTTGATTCTACGACCGATCTAATGACAGAATTGCACACACCAGAGTTCTTGAATAGCATAAATTTATCTGGTGTGCCGAATCATTAGTTAACGTTAAAGGCAGGGACCCCGGTGATGCTTTTGCGAATTATAGATCACTCAATGGGGTTGTGTAATGGGGCTCGACTTATTCTAACGAGGCTCGGTGATCATGTTTTGGAAGGGAAGATTTTAACTGGTGTCAGTGCTGGACAAACAGTATTAATTCCTAGATTATCTTTGACCCCATCCGATGCCAGCTTGTCTTTCAAATTTCAAAGGCGACAATATCCTGTTATGACTTCATATACTATGACTATAAATAAAAGTCAAGGTCAATCTTTGTCCCGTGTTGGGTTGTTGTTGAAAAAATCGGTATTTACACACGGACAGTTTTATGTTACAGTATCAAGGGTTACCAATCGTTGTGGTTTGAAAATTCTAATTGGTGATGAAGATGAAGGAACCAATGACAAGACTCAGAATGTTGTATTCAAAGATGTGCTCAACAATGTTTAGGTTTACATGAAATGCATATTTACAATGTTATGGTTTCTACGTATTTGTTGGATGTTTTTTTATCTTTTAAGTAATGATTAGTGCTCTCTTTTTAACCATAATATTATAAGTGTGTTTCGTTCATTGTTTTGATCTATATTAGTATTCCATTGAGACATATGTTATCATCATTTGATAGTGTAATTTGAATTAGTGAGCACAAATAAATTTGAAAGAAAAATTTCCCGACCGTGCATCGCACGGGTGAGTTTACTAGTTCTTCTAATAGCACAGAAATGTCAGCTCCATCAAAAGAAGAAATCAATTCACATAAAAGATTATATTGATTACACCAAATGATTAATGGCCCGTTTGGTGAGCATGTTTTTTAACTTATCAAATTTATCAGCCAACATTTTCACCAAACACATAACTTTTGATTTCGAACGGTAAATTGTGTAATAATAAGAAAGACTAAAGTTAAAGTTACATTTGTGCTTGTATTGATTGAAGTTACTATAGATGATCATTTTTAGCTTTTTATTCGTATAATTTTTCTTTATTTTATTAATAAATTATATTCTAAATAAATAATCCATAAATTAGCAGAAACCGCCAATTCACCACTTTAGTTTGAACTCTGTAAATTTCAGCAGAATCTGCCAATCAGGGGCGGAGCCAGGGCAGGGCTAACCCTGGCCCTGGCCCAACCTAAATTTAAAAAATGTTCATATTTTTAGTGTAAAAAGTTCTGTGTAATTTTTTTTTTCAAATATATTCTTTGTACCGATTCAGTCCAGCCCAGTGTTCTGGCTCCACCCCTGCCGCCAATACAGGGTATTACGGCTCTAAAACTTAAAAGATGCACAAAAGATTTTTTTTTGATAGATGTACAAGACAATCTTTGAAATTATCAAAAGTTGATGTTTTTAATAAGGAAAATTCCTTCTGTACATGCCAAGTTTTACACGCCAAGTTACACGTCTGTCAAATTGTCTGTGTACAGACAATTTGATCGACTATACAGTAATATTGAACGGCGATTTACGAAGAAAACCGATTTTTACACAGACAAAAATAAAAAAATGTCTGTGATACAGATAACTCTTAATATTTTGTCTGCATCGAAATCGATTTTCTTAATAAAACGCCGGTCAAATTGTATGTATAACGCCGGTCAAATTGTCTGCATACAGACAATTTGACCGGCATGTAACCCGGTGTGTAACACGGCGTGTACACGAAGGGAGACCCTTTTAATAAGAACATAGTGATTTTAAAATCGCAATCAAAAGTTGAAGTTCTCAACTAGTCTAAGATAAACGAATAACGTAGTACGTAGTAGGAATTAAGGGTGTAATTTAGTACGGAGTACGTACTATTTTCATCATAAGTTGCCAACCAGATAGTCAATGAGAGTAGTCAACTAGTCAAGATAACATCCGTTACAACCCCAGCGGTGCTCTGCCTCCCCAGCGCCCCATTCAGAAAAATGTCTGTTTCTCCGGTCCGATTCGGAATCATTGGATGTGCATATATCGCCCGGAAACTGTCTCGGGCCATCAATCTTTCTCAAAACGCCGTCCTTCAGGCCGTCGGCAGTCGCAGCCTCGAAAAGGCCGAGAAATTTGCCGCCGAAAACGGTTTCCCGGCATCCGCTAAGATCTACGGCAGCTACGAGGCCATTCTCGACGATCCCGAAGTCGACGCCGTGTATGTTCCCCTGCCGACGAGCCTGCACGCCAAGTGGGCCGTCTTGGCGGCGCAGAAGAAAAAGCACTTGCTGCTCGAGAAGCCGGTTGCTCTGAGTGCCGAGGAGTTCGATACGATCGTAGAAGCGTGTGAATCCAATGGGGTGCAGTTCATGGACTCTACCATGTGGATGCACCACCCTCGCACTGTGAAGATGAAGGAGTTCCTCTCAAATCCCGACCTGTTCGGTGAACTCAAATCAGTAAGTCCATCGATGTTCAATTCCTTTTCATTATTTCATAACTTCCATTTTTCAACGTGGAAAACACCAATTTCTATTTCTGTTTGATCACATCTTCAAAAATGCTTTCCAAAATTCCTCCAAATTCCTGGTGTTGTAAAATGTGACTGGATGTTCTCCTTGTTTAGTTGTCCTCTAGTTCTAAATAAAGTTTCTAATTTGACGTGATTTTTTTTTTGTTTTTGACTTTCCCATTATACAATTTCAAAAAGTAAAGGTATGAGAGTTGTTTTATATTAAAAATTTGTCAAAATTAGAAGTAGGGACTTTATTTTGGAACAGAGGAAGTACTAAATTAGATGGGTTACTTGGTTACTTGGTTGACCTTAATTGGACAATTTTCCTGTTATTTAAGATTCCATATACAATAGCCCGTTTCATGATCCTATTTTTCTCGGCTTATGAGTCATATCAACTAATTTTTCATCAACCACGTAACGTTTAATTTCACGTCTTGCATTCTGTAATAATAAAAAATTGAAAATAAGTAAATCTGAAGTTTCTTTTCTCACTGAACCTGTCTCAGGTGCATAGCTCTTTCACATATGCTGCTGATCCAGACTTTCTAGAAAACGACATCCGTGTGAAGCCAGAGCTTGATGCCCTTGGTGCACTCGGTGATGCCGGGTGGTACTGTGTCAGGTCCATTTTGTGGGCTGCTGATTTCCGACTGCCGAAAACCGTTGTTGCTTTCAGGAACCCCGTCTTCAACAAAGCAGGGGTGATCATGGCTTGTGGTGCTTCCTTGTTTTGGGAAGACGGGAAACTTGCAACTTTTGAGTGCTCCTTTTTGTCTAACTTGACAATGGACCTCACAGCCATTGGCACGAACGGGACTCTCAATCTCCACGACTATGTTATCCCTCTTGAAGAGAAGAAGGCTTCGTATTTCACTGGGACAAAAACTGGATTTGATGAGCTTGTGACGGCATGGGATTCAAAGCCAAGTGAGCACATTGTCAACACTGACCTTCCCCAGGAAGGTCTCATGGTGGAGGAGTTTTCGAGGCTAGTCGCCAGTATTAAAGGCGACGGTGCATCCAAACTTGAAGAAAAGTGGCCGACCTTTAGTAGGAAGACTCAGCTGGTTCTGGACGCTGTCAAGGCATCAATTGAGAATGGGTTTGAGGCTGTAGAGGTTATGGGTTAGACAAATCTAATGTGTGTGAATAAATTCTATGTCGGGGAAGCTATGTAATGCTTTTTACTGGTCTTGAATAAGCAGTGTATTGCTCTGTATTCACTGTCGTGCCTTGTGATTATTGAGTTAAATCCTCGAAGTGACTAACTGTGGTGAAACCGAATTCTGCTGACAAATTGATTGAAACCGAACCGACCAAAACCGTACTGAATGAAACCGGCTAAAATTGGCTAATCCATCGATGTTTAGGATTACGGTTTATACTTGTAGGTTAAAAAACCGATTGAACCAAAACCGATCAACAAAAACCGACCGACACGGATACAAATCAACTGACAATGACTCAAGTTGTGTGGTTCCGGTTCTCGATTTCTCCTTTTCTAAATTTGACCGACAAAAATGAATCATCGAAAAACCACATCAAGATTCTATGTTTTGATCCGGATCAATTTCTAATTTCAAAAAGTTTGTTATACTAATCTATTCAGTGGTATTGGAGTTCCAAACACAACTTGATGGCCACGGAAACATAACATACAAGTTACAAGACTCACAATTTTCTATTCTGGAACACGTGAAATACTGAGGCAGTAAACAACTTTATATGCGTACACACATATATATGTACGAAGTATAATATACGAATGCGATGGAATATGCAGAATTTAATTGATGCCGTAATAAACTAAGGTATGGAAGGAGAAGCAAAATGTTCCACTCTTGATAATTAAACATTGGCCTTCATGGTCGTGTAGCCGACTGCTTTTAAATTTTACAGGTTCTTTTATGAGTCTTAGACTCTTAGCCTGGTGTTTTGTGACGATTTCAAACTCCAATAATAATGTTCATTTTGATTTGAGTAAGATTCAATCCTAAAAGAATAAGACCTCCACAAGTACTTTAGGGGTTCTGACCAAGTGCAGAGCCGTCTAATGAGTTTAGAGGTCCCGTTTCCAAATGCAAAATCGAGGTCTCATATTAATATAAAAAAATAAAAAACATCTCAATCTAGATAATTATACTCAAATCAATTGAATACTAATTGAACTATGCAATAAAAAAATTCTAAAAGTTACTTAATACTTGATCTAAAGCAACCCAAATCATCACTCAAGCAATTTGAGTAAAGAGGAGTAAAAGAACCGATGAAAAATGATATTATTGTATTTTTCTTCTGTATCTTAATGATTAGTATTAATACTCGGAGTATAACGTGACATATACTACTAATAAATACTCCTTTCGTTTCCAAAAGAAAGTCACGGTCTGACTTCACGATTATTAAGGAAATAAATTAACTTTACTGTAGAAAACACTGTTTATACACTGTTTGGACACTGTTTGGCACTGTTATGCACTGTTTGGCACTGTTTGAATGTAGATTTCTTTGCCAAATAAGGAAATACGGGAAGTGTGACTATGTTTTTGAAACATCTCAAAAAGGAAAGTGTGAGTTTCTTTTAGAAATGGAGGGAGTATTTAAAAAGTTAAGGCCCATAAATCTTAAGGCTCCATTTTGTAGAACCTATTGAATCTCCTAAAACCCGGCTTTGCTTAGGGTGAAGACGACACTAGATTACAAGGTGATCCCTTCAAATCAGAAATCAGAATATTACTAAACTTTTTAAATGACCGATCCATCCCATTATAGTATATGGCATCTTCTTATATTGATATAATAACTTGTATCATTATTAGTAATTTAGGATAACACATATTGTAGCTCGTGAAAGAAATTGCCCAATATAGGAGTAATCATAAACACAATTGCACAAATAGAAGTTAAACTTAAAACTTCCTTCAATAGGAGTAAACATTAATTTTCTACCTTTAATACCCCTAACCTAATTTATTCTAAAATAGGACTGATTTGATCCTATTAAAATATAAAAAAATCTATTTTTTTTTTAAAAATGTTTAAATAATGAAAATAAATAAATAAAAAAACTTTAAAAATAAATAAAAAATAGATAAAATACATTAAAATTATAAAAAAATTATTGAGGCCTTTCTCGCAGCCTCGGCCACCACCTAGCATTCTAGCAATGCCGCCTCCAATGGGCGAAAAAAATGCAATTTTATGTAAAAACTGCCATTTTTATTTGAACATGCCATAAAGATGGCATTTTTACTCTTTGAAAATGCCAAATTTTCTTGAAAACTTCCATCATGATGGCATTTTAAATAGATGTTGGCATTTTTTCCAGTGGTCGGAGCTGGTGGTGCTGGGAGGTTGTTGAGCTTGTGGTAGAGGCTTGCATTTTTTTATATATTTTTTCAGTTTTTATTTTTTTATTTTATTTTTTTGGTTTTTTATTTTTTTATTTTAATAATTTTTATTTTTATTAATTTTATATTATACGGAATATATTTTAATTATTATATATTTTCGTGTTTTTATTTTTTTACAATTTTATTATAAATTAATTAATGTTATTTGTCTTATGCTTTAATGAAAGTGGTTGAGGATTGGGGCTTGGGTATACGTATATTTGTCCAAACACTAAAGTTACTCCAATTCAAAACATTATACTCCTATTTTTGCATTTTGGCTATGTTTTACTCCTATTTGGGGAATTCACCCTTATGGATATTATCAAGGGAAAATTATATTTTGAAGGGGTATGAGATAAACACCCAAACTTACATATGTAATATAAATATCCCGAACTTTATATAAAAAGTTATGCTAGTACCATATCATCTGGTTTTTCTTTCACAAATGTAAATTTATGGTGTTAAATAAATAATAAATAATTTAAATACATGTATTATTTATGAGAGTGCTAGTTAACATTCTTACCTTTAAAAAACTACTTCATCTGTCTCACTAAGATTGTCCCATTTTACTTTCTCGATCCGTCCCACTAAGACAGCCTCTTACCAAATTTGGTAAATTTAGTGTGGTTCTAAATCATTCTTACTTTATTCTCTTTTATCAATTCAATATCAACCACATAAATGACTTCCTATTAGTTTGCATGACACTCTCTCTTGTTCCATTGTTAGTGGGATAGAGGGAGTAATATTTACTCAATCTCTCTCTCTCTCTCTCTCTCTCTCTCTCTCTATATATATATATATATATATATATATATATATATATATAGAGAGAGAGAGAGAGAGAGAGAGAGAGAGAGATAAATGATCCTATCCAACACTTCCCCGTTCGAACGCCGTCCGAAAACACCACCGTTTGGGGCGTTCCAGATGGAATTTTTTGATGAACTTTGTTGAGCATGTTCCTCTTAAAGTATAGTTTATCCACAAAAAATTTCAGCTCAAAATTCGATCGGAAAGACAGTCAAATCATTTTTTGAATATATATTTTGGGGCAATCAACTTAAAAAATAATTTGACTGCCTTCTCGATCGAATTTTGAGCTGATATTTTTTGTGGATAAACTAGATTTGATTAGAAACATGCTCAAAAAATTTCATCAAAATATTCCACCGGGAACTGCCCCAAACAGCGGTGTTTAGACATCGTTCGGACGGGGGAGTGCTGGACATGATCATTTCTCTCTCTCTCTCTCTCTCTCTCTGTGTGTGTGTGTATATATATATATATATATATATATATATATATATATATATCTATATATATATATAGAGAGAGAAATGATCATGTCCAACACTCCCCCGTCCGAACGATGTCTAAACACCGCCGTTTGGGGCGGTTCCCGGTGGAATATTTTGATGATATTTTTTGAGAGAGAAAATATATATATAAATATATATATATAGACAAATGTTCAGGTCCGGGATTCCTGATCGGAACCGCCGTCCGGCCGACGGCTTTTGGGGCCCTTACTGGTGGATTTTTTGATGATATTTTTATGGCATGTTCTTAATGAAGTCTAGTTTATCCACAAAAAAATCAGCTAAAAACTCAATCCGGAAGGTCGTCAAATGATTTTTGGAACTTAACTGCGTTTTATATGTATTTCTTAGCGCAGTTAACTTCCAAAAATCATTTGACGACCTTCGAGATTGAGTTTTTAGCTGATTTTTTGTGTGGATAAACTAGACTTGATTAAGAACATGACATAAAAATGTCATCAAAAATTCCACCGATAAGGGCCCCAAAAGCCGTTGGCCGGACGGCGGTTCCGGTCAGGATGGCCTGACCAAACACTAGTCTCTCTCTCTCTCTCTATATATATATATATATATAGTTGCAAAATTTTTGGTTTAATATTTGTCAATACACAACTTTGACAATTAGCAATGGTTACTATTAGTAAAACCACAGAGTTTTTTTTTTGAAGAAAAAACCACAGAGTTTTAAAAGTCATATTTTAAAATTTTAACCCGAGACAAGTTTTATAATGGTTTATATAAGAAAAAAAATGTAGAGTGTATGAATAATGTAAAAGGAAATTAAATATGTTAATAATGAAAGTGGTGCAATGACAAATAGAAAATTAAAAGCGTTGGAATGATATAGACTGAGATAATATTATTTGTTTCACAATACAAGTTTAGAATGTTAATTGTATCCTCATTAAATGCTAAATATTTTAAATTGTGTACTTAACAACATAAATTTACATAATTCTTTTTAAAGAATAATAAAATTATAAGATCGAGTAACCTGTGGCTCGTTCACTAAAAAAATGCCTTTGTAGCTCTTAAATTATTAAAAAAATGTAGAAATGTAACGTAAGAAAAAGAAATAATAATGGTGCTAAGATACTTTATATATAAAGTTCGAGGTATATATATTATATTACACATACAAGTTTGGGGTACTTGCTTCACATGCCCTTTTAAAGTTTGGAGTATTTAAATTATTTTTCATTTTTATCAATTCAAGACCAACTATTCCTTATTTACTGGCGATAAGATTTGCTGTAATATAAGTCTTGGTTTATGTTGATGATTTGATTATTTGAAAAAATAGTTAATCGACTTGAAAAGTACTTGAATCCTTGTTCAGTGATATTGATGAGTATTACTTATTAATCAGAGTAATCGAGTAATAAAGTACACTTTCTAAACATATACTTCGTATACTACAACATTAAAAAGGAAATTTCCTAAGATATGACTAAAACTCAATGAGTTTCCCAATCTATGACCTAATTAGTTTTTATACCTTTGTATGACCGAAAATCCCAAAAAAAAGAAAATTCGTTTATATTGAAAGGTTTAATGACAAAAATACCCTTATTTAAAATATGTGCATTTTGCACT